TTTGTTGATTTTGAAGCAAAATCGCAGTTTCAGGCTGTGAAACAAGCCCTCAAGGAACGCCAGGAAAGCTTGAAATCGCGCATGGCTGGTAAGAAGGAGAAGGCTGTGACTCCCAAGGAGGAAGATCTACCCAAAGCTCCACAGAAGCCCTCATTCTGCACTGAGGAAGACACCACCCAGTTCTACTTTTGATGGATGCATGGTTCAGGTACGTACCGTTCTTTGCTAGACTTCTTTTAACGTCATTCAAACGTCAAGTAAAGGTCAAACAAGTAACCAAGGTGAATTCAATGGGTGTTTACTGGCGCGTAGGACAGTTTTTTTGCCGATGTGCGCACAGTCGGCTTTGTGAGTGATGGCGCTGTCCCGTTAGAATACAGCTCACAAAAAAGAATCTTGCGGTGGCCATCGCATGAGTGCTGTACATGCCTAGATGTGCTGATCACAACTCCTCGTACGAAACCTGCTGAGCGATTCAAAGAATGCAGTTATGTCCTAACTTATTGTTAGAGTCCAGTGGCGCTTAGCTGGCTCTAGAGGATCGAAGGCTTGCTAACGTCAGCGAGTCCATTCAGGATTTGATCCCCGAATCATGAGCGAGGGGACGCGACCTCTTGCCACTGCACCGCATATTCCCACCTTCTCCATTGAACTAATAAAGACCATTTTAGGGCAACAAGGTCTACGTTGGCAACACATTCGCGCGCGATTTGGACCAGAACGAGATTCAAGAGCTGAAGGAGTTTGAGAAGAAGCAGACTGTCTACCAGGAATACGTCCAGAAGCAGATTCAAGCGGTGAGAAGCAAGCATCAGTTATTTGTTCAGGTACCGTAATCCCTTGTATTCCAGCAAGTGAGCAATCTGTTCGGCGGTGCCGACTTCTTCTCATCGTTCTTCAACGGCGGATCTGAGAAAGGCTCTTCAACCACCACTGTGGCCCCAGTGCTTCCTGAAGATGCACCAGAACAACCAGCTGTGCCCAACTTCTGCACAAGGATCTATTGATGGGGTATTTTTATGATGACAAAGTATTAAATAAATGCAGTAGTTGCCTGTTGCTGTGATTCCACAGCACTCCTACTCACGGTGTCGACTGGTGATTTAGTCACTTTATTTGCAATATTTCTTATGTGTTACCGCAATTCGTTGTATATTTGTGTTATAAACATTAACATCATTGTGAAAATCGTTAATCACTTCGTAAAAAAGCCCCACTCGACGAGGCTGGCCTGCAGCTGGGCAAACACAGAATTCTGCACAGAGTTCATACACAAAGCTGATCAAACTGTACACAATCGACGTGTGGTGCGGCTTCAGCTGGTACAACGAACAACAGTGGTGATGGTGGATCATTGGTGTGAGATCAGTGCTTCAACGGTACATTCAATCCATTTTGGACCTGGTTTTATTCACTAGTTGGGGCCGCAAAGAATTCGACGACGAATGTTTCACTTCTTTACTTCACCTAACTAGTACGAAAATAAGAACATCGGTCTCCTCCTGCTCTTTATCCATAGCTATTTTTCAACAGGTACTAAACTTAAAGGCAGTGGCCACGCCAATTTCATGTCGATGAATTTTGCGGTAGAGGTGCTAGGGGAGCCGCAATAAAGACGAAATCAAGAGAATGGGTCAAAAACTCGAGAAGGAATTCCCACTGTGACAGTAATTTTTATGTTTGAACCAGCTTACGACCAGGGTAAAGGCGGATTGGGTGAGAATGATATGTTGTTTTGAAGGGAAGGTGACAAAAGATATGGCACAGCGAGTTCAGAAAATCCTCTCCAATCTCCAGTGGAGGGCGGACGTGGGTTTCGTGGTGATTGCGCCCTTTGTCAGCGCCTTGCACGATTGAGCCAAGTCATCTTGACCTCTGCTTTTGAAAGGGCCCATCAGAGAACATTTAGTACTGTTCGCCGTTGGAAGTTTTCATAAAAAAAAGCCTGCAGTCTTATAACTGAAAATCACTCGCAATTAAGAAGGCATTCTCCAGGGACCATCCGTTGCAATCACTACCAGCTAAGCCTCGCCTAATTATTTCTTCACCGCCATTTTCTCTGGATTTTTTTCTCTGCATATTTACAGTTCATGGCTGACTTTCAGAAGACACAGTGACACAAATGCAAAAGTCTCAGTTTGGCACCACTCATTTTGCTCATTTCCTTTTTACAACTAAATTTGCAAGTCAAAATTCATTGCTAAAGCTTTCAGCCTCGCGGTCATTGCCGATATCGGCTAACCGGCTCAACACGTTATACGTGTGAGTGCTGAAAGCTATGGTACGTATAACATGTAGCGCACTTGCCCGGATGAGCAAGAGGTGCGGGTTCTAGTCCCGCCTGGGGCGAAAGTTTTGTTCACAACCCAGCATTCTTGTGAAACTATGAACTCTGTTAGCTTCAGTGAATGTGCCAAATA